ATACAAACCGATACTTAAACGGTGAATCCCACCATCACCCTTCACAGTTAGCTACCGTGGGCAAATCTTTATTGCAGAGAGCACGAGGGATCTGTGACAGCAAACACCTGGCCGCCGAGCTTCAGCACGTCAGGCAGGTTCTGCACGACAACAAGCTTCGGGTTCCGCGCCTACGTCACAGTGACCGAGTGAAGCCGGCCACAGTCAAGCGTGTGCCTGCTGTACTACCATATGTCAGAGGTGTCACAGACAAGATTGGCTACATCTTGAAGCGAGCTTCTATTAGAACATTCTTCAAGCCGCCGAAGAAGATTAGTCAGTTCTTACCATCCGTCAAGTGCAATATTTCTCTACAAGATGCAGGAGTATACAAGCTTGATTGTGAGTGTGGTCTATCATATATAGGGCAAACAAAACGATCAATAAAAACCCGCGTAAAAGAATACATAGCTGACGTGAAGCCCCAACGTTCCGGGAAGTCTGCAGTTTGTGATCATATCCTAGACGGCCCCCGCCATTACATTAGATTTGATAAACCACAAGTTCTCGCGAAAGAACATCGATTCCTGCCAAGGATGATATGTGAGGCTATTGAAATTAAAAAACATCCTAATTTCAATAGAGAGGGAGGCTGGATACTACCACCTGCTTGGGATCCTGTAATTCATAAAATTAAAACAAAGCCCAAGCATACCACTGCAAGACTTCAAGACACAGTTAGTTCATTCTGCGTAGATCGGACCAAAATTAATAATTAAAAAGCTGAAGGTCCTCCGGGTTAACTTTGACATCGGGACGTCAAGCACCTCAGTCCCCCGTGACCACGGTTGCTGGAAAGCAACCGAAACGTCGGGAATATAAAATAACTTAATTAAACGCGATAGAATCCGTAAAAAATAGTTTTATTTAACGTGAAGAATGGATATTCAGCTCTTGAGTACTGCATATTCTTCCCTTTTTCTTCTCCACTCAGTGTTGTAGTTTTGCTATTCAATGACGTGTTCTGTACACCTATGCCACACTCATCTCTTCCTTTTGCTCTTGTCTTCCTCTGAGCTGCACAAGACGACAGCTTGTTGAATCTAATGAGTACGCAGAAGTAATTTTAGTAAACAGAAACACATTCACTAATGATCAGCTAATGACTGTCATTGTTAAAAAAGTATTTTTTTAACTTTTTCACTTTCTGCTATTGTATTTGTAATATTGTATACGACGACGTTTGTGTTGTCGTAGATGCTATCCTTATTAGTCTTTACATAATATTTAACCCTCGTGGAAGCATTTTTCCAATGATCAGTAGTTGGAATCTTGGATAGCTACTTTATATCGTACATTTCAATTTTATGAGATGCGTCGCATGGTCCCCGTTATCAGAATTAGTAGAAATGTATGATACACCATCTCTAGCGGCTCGTGCTACAGTTGACAATAACAACTTCCTCTTTTTTATTTTTTATCCACCTTCAAAAAAATTATCAATCGATTTCAATTTTCTTTTTCCACCTACGCATGTGTTATTATTAATGACGATGTCATCACTATTTTTGAGGGGAGAGTGGCGAGTGATTATACTTTTTATAGGTATTTTCATCGAAATTGAATGATTTCTGCAACAACACAGTTATCATGTTAATATCAATTTGTTTACACTTAAACACACACAAACACACACAAACACACACACACACACACACACACACACACACACACACACACACACACACGCGCGCGCGCGCGCGCGTACAAGTAAGAAAACAACAGAAAGAAAAGTAAATTTGTCAATAGAATAAACACTTACGTCCTTGACCTTTGATGCGTTGAAGTAACACAAACGTAGTATTGGTAGATCCACTGTGGTCAAACGACCATTCACTGACTCCATGACTGCAGCTGCTCGGTCTTATATAGCACCAGTAAGTTAACATTTCCGCAGTGAAACTGACAGTAACTTTATGAGTCAACTTGCTTATCTCGCATTCTTTCGTGTTGCTACTTGCGATACACCGATGACTCCTACAAATCATCACAAAAGAATGCGATCTAATATTTACGAATCACTATAATTGATCATTCCTAGATTGAATAGATTGGTGCTATAATAATCAACTTATAGCAGTAATACGATGGATACACTAGATGTACAACATCTGAAAAAAGATTCATTCCAGCATAGTTTTACGAACATATTTACAGGGAACACACTGTACAACGATATTTTAGTGAATGAGATGTTTCGCTCATATTTTAAAAATTAAGGAATGTGTTGTAATGATGATTCAGAATAGCGTCGTAGTAATTAACAAAGAAGTATCATACAATAGCAGGGTGTACAACGAGTAATAGATAAGAGCGCTAATGACGGTTTTCAAGGAACAATAGATAAGAGAACTGGCTGAATATTGGAACGCTAAAGAGGGTGCAGGCCCACCGGATATCGATTAGATATTAGTTATTTGATTTGCACATCTCCGGAACCGCGCATCTTACGCAAAAACGGACCGCAGATTCGTGATCAGAGCATGCCTAAACGTCTTTTTTCAGGATCCGTCGACGGCCGATGAGCGCTGAGGATGGCGAGTTGTACCAGTTTTGACTCAGTGAGCCAGAACTGGTACAAACTAACTACTACCCTACATTTCGCTAACTGGAACCGGCAAGAGACGGCTACTCGAAATAGTTCTTTCCCATTGCTTGTCGGTTCTTCGAGCTGTATACTTCATGTATTCTTATTCTGCACTGTTGGGCCATGTCGGTTACTACAGCTAATATTTTATTATCATACAGAGAAGCTCCGCGCTTTGTCTTCACAACTCGCTGAGCGACCTTAAGCTAACACCTCTTAGATCCATAAACCATTACTGGCCGCATTCACTCTTGTTTTTAGGTTTTAAGGAATATGTGATTATAAGATGCGTTGCAATCTCCCGAACGCTGCTCAGCAGCAACTACGAGCCTACTGTTCTCAACAACTACCGACACAAGTGTGATGGACATTAGATATCTTATTTGTCTTGTCCATGTTCATATGAAGATCTATCCATTGGGAGACATTTTTGAGGTCATTAAGCGCAGTACTGAGATCCTCCAGCTACTCTCTTATTCTCTTATATACTAGATGTATAATATCCAGACCGCCGACAGGGAGTAAAAGGTGACAAACTTCTGATGATATGCTCACCAATCCACCTGCAAAGCTTGGCAATTGTGACCAATCCTCCCAACAATGATTTATAAGGCCAATATCCACCAGTGAATTATGATTGGACTGATAAGAACAATAATGTTAACCAATTAAGGTTATGAAAGTACTAGGCTTAGAACTTTAGCTACCCAGAAAAAGACGGTATTACCCAGTTTGTTTACTCGTATATAGTGGTCAAGAGCTAGTAATCATCATTTATAATAAGAGAATATACACGTTATCTTGAAGTTCGATAACCTCATGACATTGTATAAAGCTGATTTACGGCTTCAATTCCTGCCTTTGAAATTCTGGTTTTCCTAAGTTGTATTGATGTCATGACCAATAAACAGATTTTTAAATATATTTAACTAGTTGCGTAACTCTGAATCACCAAACGGTATTCGCTGAACGTCATACAGGTATGCGCGCTAATCTCGGCACATACTAATGAGGAGGTGGAGGAAATTTATGAGGATATCTCTAGAGCCATACATTCCTCAAAAACCCACTATACGCTGTTAATGGGAGACTTCTATGCAAAACCAGGCACAAAAGAGAACGGAGAGCTGAAGGTAAAGAAAATTTGGAATAGGGCAACGAAACACAAGGAGCCAGCAGCTGGCTGACTTTATGGAGAAAGAGGAACTCTTTATGATGAACTCTTTCTTTTAGAAGCGGCCCACAGAAAGTGGACCTAGTTGAGCCCCGACGGTTAGATAAAAAATGACATTGACTTCATTATGACGACCAGACAACAACTGCTCAGTGATGTCTCAGTGATCGCAAGGGTGAAAACTGGTAGCGACCACAGAATGGTGAGAGGCTCACTGAACCTAACAGTTGAGTTGGAGAGGTAACGTCTAATGAAGTCAACGCTCCGCGAGATTAGAATGGCTCTCCAGCACCTTAAAACGGCAAGTCCCCGGGCGAGGATGGAATTACAACGGAGCTTCTGAAAGCGGGTGGAAAACTCCATGGTGGCACTAATCCGAAGGCACGCAGCAGAAGTGCGGTGGTTTGTTCTTCAAGAAAGGTGACAATGCTCTCTTGAAGAATGACATAGACCGATTTCCCTTCTAAGCATCTACGTGCTGTTTATGAGAGTCATTACAAATCGTTTGCAGCCGATTCCCAGCCTCCAGAACAAGCCTTCGCCAAATTTTACAGAAGATCGAAGAGTACAATCTGCCACTTTGTCTTGGGTATGTAAACTATGAGAAAGACTTAGATTCCGTCGAAATTTGGGCGGTGCTGTAGTTCCTTCAGCGGTTTAAAGTTGACTATCGGTATATCGAAGTGCTAAAGTGTTTGTACAGTAGGGCTACGATGGCTATCCGGGTACAGAACCAGAGTATGAAACCCATCCAACTGCAGAGAGATGTAAGACGACAGAGTGACGGAATATCCGCAGAAATCTTCAATGATAATAATACCCTATGTATTATTATCAAAATCGAAAAGATTTTAATATTTTTTGAATACCACTCCCTATAAGGCTGATTTGAAAATATGTCCTTCAGTTACCATCTTCCTATTTGGGTCCATTTTTAGTCATTATAGCGGTCAAAACATAACATATCTTATAAGTTCTCTTCAATCAGAAGATTGCAATTTAACGCATTTCATATTTCAAATAAAAATAAAATAAAGCTTGACCAATATATATTTTTGAAACTGTTCAACATTTTTTTGAAAACGAACGAATATATCTGAAAAAATTAGCTTTCCATTTTACGAAATCAGCTAGTTCAAAATATGAGGGAATATGAGGAAAAGCTAGTTTAGTATAAATGAACAAGCAAGCTCTATAAATAAAATCAGTTGTAAGAGTAAACTGGGAGAGATCGTATCTGCAAAATGTTGTTTGTTATTACGGTGCTCGTCGTGTGTTTTATCAGTAATACAAGTGCTTTAAGTGAGTTTACATTTTATTAATTAATGTTCATACATATTTAAAACTAATTTAACACTATATCTTATACAACCGTTACATTGTCATAGTATATCTAATTAACATTATAAACGTTTAAGTGTATATTAACTTATTTTAAATTTCCAAAGTTTCGAGCAATTTACAGCACCCATGGTCACGGCGGGGACTGAGATGTGTGTCGTCCCAACTTAATAGTTAACTACGATTAAATTCACTTTAAAATTATTAAATTTTAGTCTGATCAACGCAGAATGAGCTTATAGTCTTCTCTTATCTTGAAGTCTTACAGTTGTATGCTTGGGTTGGGATTTAATTTTATTAATTATAGGATCCCAAGCAAATGGTAGCACTCAGGCATCTTCTCTATTGAAATTAGGATATTTTTGATTTCAAAATTTCAATAGCCTCCCGAACCATTCTTGGAAGGAATCGGTGTTCTTTAGGATTTGTGGTCTATTAAATCTGATGTAGTGACGGGAGTGATCCTCTCTACGGCGATCGTATTCACAGTCTGCAGACTTCTAAGTGGCAACTGCTACGGTAACCTGCAGTCAACTCCAAACAAATGAGGCTACAGATGTATTGACTAAGATGAAATGCCTCACAACACGTAATTATACTGGTTCTACTAGAATACAGCAGTGCAACCACTACTTTTTGGCTGTGGAAATAGGTGTAAGAGTGGAACTTCCTTAAATGGACTGCTAGGCATAAAAGTATTCCTTTAACTTTGCAAATATAATGGTTTTTTAATAGGATATACGGTCACAAACAAGCACACATTCCACCTGATGGTAAGTGGTTGCTGTGACCCATAGAAATCTACATTTATCACATCTGAGGAATAAGATGGAATGCCTCGTTTTCAGCAAAATGGTCTCGTGTTCTCTTCACTCACCATTCGAAATACAGCAGCATTGAGCTGCCATTTTACGCTGGTATTCTGTGAGAGCGTGGTCCTTCCCCGGTCGAGCCGACCCATTCGTGCTACAACTAAACTACTAATATAGCTGCAGCATGGCTCTACTCGTACCACGTATAAAACGTATGTATGTTTAGATTTATATTATGTAAAGATTCCTATAAAAATATAAATGAACAAATTTCCTTTCGATTATAATCATTTATTATAATTTAATTTTTATTGCAGAAAATTGTGATGACTGTATTGCTATAAATCAATGTAGGCCCGCATTGCAGCGGATTCTTGTTGACAAAAGTCCAGAAACGGAGAGGCTAGTGAGAAACGCTTATTGTGGTTATGATAAATTACCGAAGGTGAACAAAATTACAAAACCAAATTAATTAGCAAATATTTACGATTCATCATCATTATCACCATTACAGCCCTTCACAAATCCACTGCTGAACACTAGCTTTCCCCAAGGAATGCCACAAAGCACAGTCCCGAGCCGCCAGCGTCCATTCACTTCCTGCATGTCTTACCAGGTCGTCACTCCATCTAGTGGGGGAACGCCCTACACTTTGCCTGCCCGTACCTGGTTTCCACTCGAGAACCTTGTTTCTCCATCGGTTGTCGGTTCTTCGAGCTATATGGCCGGTCCATTGCCACTTCAGCTTACTAATCCGTTCTTTCGTTTACTCTGGTTTTACTGCGGATATCCTCGATTTTAAAACTATCACGGAAAGAAAAACCCCGAGCATAGCCCTCTCAAAAGCTCGCTGAGCTATCTTATATGGCTAGTAGTGAAAGACCACATTTCAGATCCTAAAGTTATCACTATCATCCCGCACTGGTTGTACAATCTAGTTTTGAGGTTATGGGTATGCCTGACGAGAAGATGTGTCGTAATTTCCCGAACGCTGCCCAACCGAGTTGAATCCATCGATTAACCTCTCAGTCGAAGTTGAACTTACCTAGTCGGACTATTTGTCCCAGGTAAACGTTTACTGCCATAAGGACTATATCGTCGCCAAATCGAAAGTGAGTGATGTTCTCGCTATTGACGTTAATAGCGTATCCTTTCCAGTCCAGTAGCTTGAAAACGTCTTCCAATGCAGCGGTGAAGAGTTTCGGGGATATTCCATTACCCTGTCTTACACTTCTCTGCAGTTGGATAGGTTTCGTACTCTGGTTCTGTGCTCAAATAGCCATCGTAGCCCTACTGTTCAAACATTTCAGCACTTCGATATTCCGACAGTCAACTGAAGGGACTGTAGCACCACCCAAATTTCAACGGAATCAAAGGCTTTCTCATAGTCCACATACGCAAAGCAAAGTGGCAGATTGTACTCTTCTGTCTTCTGTACAATTTGCCGAAGGGTGTGTATGTCGTCTATGGTACTAAAGCCTTTTCAGAAACCAGCTTGTTCGTGAGGCTGGCAGTCGTCGAGTATGTGTGCGAGACGATTCGTAATGACTCTCGAAAACACCACGTAGATGAGGATCAGAAGGGAAAACGGTCTGTATCGTTCTTCAAGAGAGCATTGTCGCCTTTCTTGAAGAATAAGACCACCGCAATTCTGCTCCACGCCTCCGGAATAGTGCACAATGGAGCACTGAATTAAAGAGCTTCTGAAAAAATTCATGCACCGGTTTTCCACCCGCTTTCAGAAGCTCCACTGTAATTCCATTCGCGCCCGGGGACTTGCCGATTTTAAGGTGCTGGATAGCCATTCTAATCTCGCTCAGACTGACGTCCGGGTTATCATCGTAACAGTGTCACATAAGACTTGCTCTTGTATCGTTACTCACACTTACGTGTGGCTCGAATGATGACGTGTACAGCTGCCCATAGAACCTCTCAATCTCTCTCAAAATCCCAGGTGTCCCGGAAATGATGCTACCACATTCGGTATTCAGTTTCGACAGTTGGCTCTTCCTAGCAGATAGATCTCTGTCGAAGACTTTTGAGCCCTAGTTCCGCTCGATTGCTTCTTTAATACGAGCTGTATTAAAGTTGCGTATGTCCCACCGTATGCGTTTGGAGATCTGTCTGTTCAGTTGCCTGTATGCTGTCAAATCTGCTGAAAACTGCAGCTTCATTTCCTGTCTCACAGCAAGAGATTAAGAGCGTGATCAGAGAGTTTTTGTGTTCTTCTGCGACGGGTCTTGCAGAACTTAGATCCGACCGCATAGACAGTTTTCACAAGCTTGTCACTCATATGGTCCACTTCATTGCAGTCTTCCAGGCACTGAAAACGCTTTTGTAACTCGAGCTGAAACTTTTCGGGGCTTTTGATTATAGCACGAGGGATACGGAGCGTTGACTTTATTAGAAGTGATCTCTCCAAATTAACGTTTAGGTTTAGGGTGCCTCTCACCATTCGGTGATCGCTGCCAGTTTTCATCCTCGCGATCACTGAGACATCACTGAACAGTTGTCACCTGGTCGTTATAATGAAGTCAATCTCATTTTTTTGTCGAACCGTCGGTGCTCGCCCAGGTTCACTTTCTTCGGGGCCACTTCTGGGAGAAAGAATTCATCATTCTTTGTGATATCCCTCTTTCTCCATGAAGTCAGCCAGGTGCTAGCCCCTTGGGTTCCGTTACCCTATTCCGATTTCCCTACGTGCAGCTCATCGTTCTCTCTTGTGCCTAGTACTGCGTTGAAGTCTCCTAGCATGACTAAGCATGACTCTAGATATATCCTCATACATTTCCTCCACCTCCTCGTCGAGATGTGCAGAGGTTGTTACGTAAACCTGTATGACCTTCAGCGAATACTGTTTCGTGATTCTGACTATAAGGCACACAACCCTCATCGACATAGTTGCGAACTTTACTACGGCTTTTACTTTTTGACGGCTCCGTGGCGCAGTGGCTTATCAATGAGTTGCTACGCGGGGGGCCGCGGGTTCCCCACACAGTACAAGTATTTGTATGGCCTACAAATAATTTTTCACCTAACAATAGTATTGTATCAGATGTAAGCACATATTTTTTGTTGTCTTCTGAATGTATATTGTTGGTGAAAATTAATAAATAAATAAAATAAATAAATGAATAATTGTTCCGGTCCTGGATGTTTGTCCTTGTGCAATTTGTAAACTGCCTCCACGATACAGGAGAAAATCCTAGTGTGGGGGTTACGTTTAAAAAAAAACAAAAGCAAAACAAACAAAAAGATTGTTAACGAGAGACTTATGGACGATAAATTCGACACATTCTTCGGACAGATGGTCACCCTCCCGGTGATAAAACAAGTTGCCGGATTCGAGGATTACCGTGTCCTCCCCCTTTATTCGGGCCTAAGATAATCCTATAATACTCCAGCGATCCAGGATCTCCGGGACTTCTCGTCAGTCCTCAGGGAGCATGTTTTGTACGTTGCCGGGTCGAGTCGTCTTAGGCGGCAACAAAACCTTCACCAGAGATTCTTAGAACCCCTTGCCTAGCCGTTACCATGTTCGCCACCGTAGCCAATAATAGCGGGGACGCCGAGGATTGGGTGCCGTCTTTTTGTAACTCTCATCATGGGGGGTATATTGCAATAGTTGCCACGCTTGGCGAGCGGGTTGGCAACCGTAGTTTTTTAATGTTTTTTGCTGTTATCAGAAAGATGCTGCTGCCCATCTTCTGCCTCGGTTTCTCTCTGTCGCCTCTTACAGCACCCACGGGAAGATATGGGATACTAGGTATTCTTACCCGCCACTACACGAAGCATTATTAACGATTATTAAGCAATTATTTACGATTCTTATTCACTATTATGCTTTCTATGGAAAGTGTTCTCTAACGACTCTTGTGACACCTACAAACCCGTTCTTTTGAAGGTGACGAATTGTTTTTTATTGTATTATTTTTAATTGTTTCATCCGAAAAACGCCAACATGAAATTCTTGTGTGTGTGTGTGTGTGTGTGTGTGTGTGTGTGTGTGTGTGTGTGTGTGTGTGTGTGTGTGTGTAACTATCCACAATAACTTTTTAAAATTTTACGTTATGATTTTCTTGACCTACAGATTTGCTGCTCAGAGTTCGAAATAACGCCCTCTATTTTTCAAAGGAACAATAATTATGATCTTCAAAGGAACAATGAATATGATGATAGTGATGATATCGAAGATCATCCCAATGTCAAGCTTCTATCGGAAGATTGCGGTGAAATTGAAGGAAATCGCATTGTGGGTGGAAGTACAGCCTCTATGTACGAGTTTCCTTGGATAGTTCTTATCTCTTACAGATGTATGTTTTTTATAAGTATATTAAGTTAAATAATAGTCCGAGAGCTCATGACCCATCTTTCATGAAGTCATCATGAAACTTTGTTGAAAAGTATCAGTCCATTCAATAATCAGGTATATGACTGTTTGCCTGGCCTATCTGAGTACATCTGGTACTGCGCATAAGTCGCAAAAAACTTTGCCCAAAAAAGTGTTTGATTCAAATAATAATAATGACTATTGGTCCGAGAGCTCATGACGCATTTTTCATGAAGTGTTTGATGCATCATGAAACTTTGTTTAAAGGTATCAGTCGACTCAATAAGCAGGTATATGACTGTCTGCCTGGCCTACCTGGGTACACCTGGTACTGCGCATACAGTTAAGTCGAAAAAAAATTTGCCCAAAAAAAAGTGTTTGATTCAAATAATAATAATGACTATCCGTTAGCTAAGTTTATAAACAATTAAGAAAAAAAATGGCAGACACTTCTGAAGGGGTTTACATAGGGGCAGACGACCACAAAGTTGTATTTTCAAAAATTCCAAAAAAAGTGTTTGATTCAGTCTGCCATTTTTACAGCGTGTTTATTATGTATAATAAAATATTCTCACAAAAAGGCAGACAGTTTCTCCGGGGGTTACTAATTTAAAAATCTATACAAATAAATAATCACTTTTTAAATGGTCCATATTTCCTATCATAATAATTAATACATCTGTATCACATGATTTGATAAGTACATTGACAGCAGAATCCGATTCCAATTGACAAACATGAAAATAATTATACTTTTTTAAGATTATTTAAATAGCTGCTGATAAAATAAAAAGCTGTTCCCCGCGACTTCGCCCGCATGTAATTTAGGGTTTTATTTTTTTTGCGCGGTACCCTAATAATTTTTTTTAAATTTAAAAGCAGCCTAAAATACTCGTTATAACATCAATTATCTGCCAGTGAAAGTCCCGTCAAAATCGGTCCAGTCATTTCGGAGATTAGTCGGAACAAACAGACAGACAAAAATTTTAAAAATTGTGTTTTTGTTATAAATATCGTATATAATGTCTTATGCGTTTAGTAAAAAATTGTTATTTTGAAATTAAAAACAGACATTTAAATTTTATTTATTTGTATAGATTTTTAAATTAGTAACCCCCGGAGAAACTGTCTGCCTTTTTGTGAGAATATTTTATTATACATAATAAACACGCTGTAAAAATGGCAGACTGAATCAAACACTTTTTTTGGAATTTTTGAAAATACAACTTTGTGGTCGTCTGCCCCTATGTAAACCCCTTCAGAAGTGTCTGCCATTTTTTTTCTTAATTGTTTATAAACTTAGCTAACGGATAGTCATTATTATTATTTGAATCAAACACTTTTTTTTGGGCAAATTTTTTTTCGACTTAACTGTATGCGCAGTACCAGGTGTACCCAGGTAGGCCAGGCAGACAGTCATATACCTGCTTATTGAGTCGACTGATACCTTTAAACAAAGTTTCATGATGCATCAAACACTTCATGAAAAATGCGTCATGAGCTCTCGGACCATATGTGTCAACTAAATTGATAAAAAATTAAGAAAAATAAATGGCAGACACTTCTGAAGGGGATGACATAAGGGCTAACTACCCCAAAGTTGTATTTTCAAAAATTCCAAAAAAGTGTTGTAATGAGTGTGTCAGAGAGCGAAATTTCAAGAAGTTTAACAACAAACAAAACGCACAACAATAATTACAGCTAATGATAATAAGGAAGTAATTGTCGGGTTAATAGAAGTAAGGTATTTTTAAATTATCTCATTGGTTACATTGGAACATTTTCTGACGATAAAAAATATCTATATCTAATATTGACGATGATAACCTCGAGTTGGAATTAAGAGATAAATTCACTGGTAAAACGACATCACTATATTTTAGCTTATGTTCTTGTTGAATTTTGAACAAGTTTTGGCACCTTTGTAATGTACTTTCTGTTTTCTGAATGAGATAACACTACCAACACTTTTCACTTTACTTTATGTTTAAATTGTTAACCCTCGGAGAAACCGTCTGCCCTTTTGTGAGAATTTTTTATTATATATAATAAACACGCTGTAAAAGTAGCAGATTAAATCAAACACTTTTTTTGGAATTTTTTAAATACAACTTTGGGGTAATTTACCCCTTCAGAAGTGTCTGCTATTTTTTTAAATTCTTTATCGACTTATCTAACGGATAGTCATAATTATTAATTGAATTAAACACTTTTTTGGGCAATTTTTTTCTGTGACTTACCTGTATACGCAGTACCAGGTGAACAAAAATTGTATTGAATCGGTAAAAGTTGTTCCTGCAAATATTCTTCATTGGTCAAAATATTTTATTTTGAATTAAAATACGATATAATAGAAAAGATACAAGGCTAAAATTCTTAACACTTAGGTGATTGCTAAACCGGTGTATTTATTAATACTGTTTTGAATTTTAGATGGGCGCACTTTGAGATTCGATTGTGCAGGTACCTTGATAAATTCGAAATATGTATTGACGGCAGCACACTGTGTCAAAAACAAGACTATCGCCGGTGTCAGAGTTGGAGAATATGATATCAGTTCACCTATCGACTGTACAGGAGAAGGAGAAACCCTCGTTTGTGAGAATAAACTTCAGGTAATCAAAGAATTTCTTTATACATTTATTTGAAACTAGCTGTTCCCCGCGACGTGTTAGGGTTTTTATGTTTTTGCGCGGAACCTTAATTCTTTCTGCCAGTGAAAGTCCTGTCAAAATCGGTCCAGCTGTTTCGGAGATTAGCCGGAACAAATAGACAGACAGATAGACAAAAATTTTAAAAGTTGTTATAAGTACCGTATTTGCTTTCATATGCATTCAGTAAAAAAACTGTAATTTTGACATTACAAACAGACACTTCAATTTTATTTATTTGTATATGGGTCGTTATTTCTCACCGGCTAAAACAGCGTTCTTTTTTTACCAATTTTATCTCATTTAAATTTAACTTTTTTAATTTACAACTTATGGGTACTTTACAGCATACACGGTCAATTACTGAATGTATGTGTATGTGTTCATATAATCATTACTAAGAAGGACTTTTCTTTCCATATTTGTATTATGAGATGTTGAGTTGTGGAACAATGAGATTGGCATTGGTGCCAATTTACCACACATTCAGCGGTAACGTAAATATCGCAAGTGAACCTGTTTGTCTGAGAAATATAATACTTCGAGGACAGTCGTCGTCAGGAAGTCGGCCCAATACGCACTGCAGCATAAGCGAGGCCCGAGCCAAGCTCAAAAGAGAGCACTCAGTTTTCATATCTCACAACATTGTCTTCATCTTTATCAGCCCGTAAAAGTCCATAGCTGAACAAGGGCCTCTTTCGTTAGGAGGGATTTGCCTTATCATCACGCTTGGCAGACGGATTGATGATCGTAGCATCACACGTCAAGCAACTTTGACGCTGCTGTAATACCGTTTTTTATAGAAGAAGGTGTACATATGAGCACACATGTCTACCTGATAGTACTTGGTGCTGTTGGCCATAGACACTTACACCTATCCTCGATTAAGAATCGAAATGCAAATGTGTTGCCACCCCTGAGGACTAAGATGGAATGCCTCGGTTCCAGTAAAAAGGTAAGTACTTTATAATATTTGGTGTAGTTAGTTTTGGCAGCTGTATTAACGATCGTATTAACACGGATCACGCACCTTTGATGGCATATTATAAGAAATGGTTATATTATAATCTATAAGAGGCCATGAGAGCTTGGCTATTCCACAATCGCTTATCTTGGCATCCACAGGATTGTATGGACTATGATATCTCTTACCTATATAAGATTTTAGATAACTATGAACTTCGTTACTTTAAAATGCAGTTTTAAAGTTCAAGTATTTTGCTTCGAATGTCTAAAAAAATATCTCCTAAGTTTTTAATAAAACACGTCCTACAACTGGCCTGATATGGCGCCCTATATGTATAGTAGGTCAATACTAATAATATTGGACTATAAAAAAAACTTGAAACTTGTACAGACTATCCAACTTGTCCAATGTACGCGTAGTCGGTTACGCGTATACAGGAACGCTAGTGCGAAGCGTGTAGACTCGCGGCGAGTCGTCGCCATTCGGCTTTTGGTTGCGAGCATCGAAGCGGATTTAAACGCTCAATTTGGACTTTTTATCTTTATGATTAACGTCTTTGGGGTTCCAGATAGACGATTCGCTCTGGTAATATTCCAGAAACGAAAAACTCTCTTCGTTCGACCAGCTACTCATTTGAAACAAAGAACTAAATATGCGCAACGTGTGAATGCGTGGCAAGCGCTTGCCGCAAGCGCTTGCCGCAAGCGCCCTTTGATCTGTGTCCAAAAACCGACACTAGACCGGATCGGAGACAAGCGTCCACAAGCTCACGCAAGCCAAGCCAAACGCCCTCTTTAAACGCTTATACTTGTGGACGTTTGCCGAGCCTGGGCAAGCATGGCAAGGCACCATTAAAGGTGCCCTGTATACGTATCTACTATCCACCTGTACGCGTACCTATTCAACATACCTTGACTACGCGTATATTGGAACGCTTAGTCCGTACAAGTCTTTAACCCTAATGGTTTGAACATGAGCTGTGATAAAAGTAGGCCATATTCATAAAATTATTGTATTATGGTCTGTTCCTTAATAGGTCTGTAAAATTAAAGATTATTCAGACGCCTGGCAGTGGCTAAAATTGAGTTATAAAATTACATAATACTCTTAAATACATACATACATGTTAAATTAATAGAAAGCGAGTAAAAAACTTAAATCGTGAAATATCAATTAACCATAAAATCAAATTTCTAAAGTTTTTAGTTCCTGTCATCGTCATTACCGTCCCTCACAAGACTGCTCTAGTGCTGAGCATAGGCCTTCCTCAAGGACTGAAATGGATTGAAACTTGAATGTGGCAAGTTTGATTCAACTTAAACTCCTCTTTCTATTTATTTTAGGATAGACGTGTTGCAGAAATCATCTATCACAATGAATATGATGTCGTTCCAGTAGCGGTGAATGATATCGCTCTACTTCGCCTGAGCCGACCCGTTGTCTTAACTTATAGTAAGTTTTCTTTTTTTTTCACAAAACAAACTTAATTAAATAATGGTATTAAAGCAAACAGCAATCGTAAGATATTCTAAAAATTAATTTAGTGTAATAATGCATAAATATATAAATATACGGATATAATTATACGGATCTACATAAAATAAATTTAATTAATTATTAATAATACTTTCTCTTTGGGCTCTCCATTCTTATTATTTTACGTGGTAGAGCCATGCTGCAGCTATATTAATAGTATATTTGTAGCACGAATGGGTCGGCTCGACTGGGAAAGGACCATGCTCTCACAGAATACCAGCGTAAAACAGTAGCTTAATGCTGCTGTGTTTCGTATGGTGAGTGTATGTATGTGAACCGGAGACCCATTTTACGAGGCATTCTATCTTAGACCTCACGGCTGACAACGCATCTGCATTTTAATTCGCAAACGAAGATAGATGTAGATGTCTATGGGCCACAGTAACCACTTACCATTAGGTGGACTATGTGCTCGTTTGTCACCCTTATTCTATAAAAAAAAATATTATTAAATTATTGTTTTACTTACTCAGAATATTTTAATCGCGACTGAATAGTTAAAAATAATTAAATATTGTAGTATAATTTAACACATATTAATAAATATATTATAATTTCTTATGAGTAACGATTTATTCTTTCAGAAAATTCAGGAGCAATATGTCTCCCAGTTATGAAAAGCTTACGTGAAATGAATTTAGATGGTGAAACAGCTACGGTTGCTGGTTGGGGTTTTACTGAGAAATATCAAAGATCCAATGTTCTACTTAAAGTTGAATTACCAGTATATTCTTCCAAAACCTGTAAAGCTTATTATAAAAGGTGACGATATATTTATTTATTTTTACTTTAGTAACGGTTTGAGTTTAAGAGCTGTCGCAAAGAGTCTTCGCCTTTCTCCATTTTTGTGGGTATGAGATGAGAGGTTAGCAGCGTGCGTGTAATGTTGCATATACGCCAGACATAACGGCAGACCGGACAGGAATTTTCCTCAGTCTTACGTATAATCTGCCAAAGTGTAGTCACATACATACGTCTATGGAGCTAAAGCCTTTTTATTAGCCGGTTTGTTCGAATAGCTGTAAATGGTCGAGTCAGCGTACGAGACGATTCCTAATGACTCTCGAAAACAGTACGTAGACGCGGCTCAGAAGCGAAATCGGTCTGTAATTCTTCAACAGGATTTGATCATCTTTCTTGAAGAAAAGAAAGAAAAACTACCACACCCTTACCCCTAGTAGCTTCTGAAGGATCAGAATTTACTTGATACAGTAGCATTCAGAACGCTAAGTATCGATTCGCCGCCCGTTTTAATTTCACATTTACGAATAAATTGTTTGACGTCATTTTGTCGTTTTCATGTCGTCATCTCTGGCCAGAAATATTTCCGTTTTTTGTTATTTGTTGCTAACTATTTTTATGCCTCATAATGTGAAAAATACGAGGCCCGGGCTATACATTCGTAAGTTTAATTTCTTCTATAATTTCTTTGACGAATAATGCGTTTTAATCTTTTTTAATTATTCATTATTCTTTGATAATATTTTTTTGCAAAACTTGCATATTTTTTTTATAGTATCACACATCTCGCGTACAGTGTGACTTAAAAACCTAAAATTGAGTTTAATAGTATTAAATGCAAAACACTCATATTCGGTACTTACACGATTTATCCGTTTCATTTTCTTTATTTCGTCACCTTTCACTAATATCATTTGAACTGCTGTATGATTTGTTTGGAAGTTCATTTTCACTATTTCATCAAAATATTTTGAGTGTAATTAATTTATTTTATTTTTAATTTGTTATTATTATAATTATATAAGATACTTTGAGTTTGATTTGTTTGTGTATAATATAGGTTTTTAGTTTTAATTATAAAAATATCTATGTTTGATTTGTTGTGTATAATAACATAGTTTTCTTTTTGTTTTAATACAATTTAAGTAGTTAGTAGTTTGTCTCAGAAGTTTAATTTAGTGTGTATTGTTTTTCGCAATTTTCTTATATTTATAAATTGGTCAGTGTCTATTTTTTAAAATGGGAGCAGAGTTGGTTAACATCAATGAGAAATTAATAAACCTTACGATTGTACCAATAGTGGGGGATGGCGCATGCCTTTTCCGTACGCTTTCTTATTTGTTGTACGGCACACAAGAACGCTCAATGGATACTCGTAAAGAAATTTTGCTTCATGTGACGAACAATTGTGATGAGTTTGCTGTTATATCTCATAACGTCATGGCAACAGTCATGGGACAAAATATGTAACAACACTACATATGGCGGTTTTTGCGAGTTATTTGCAGCCGGTCAAGTATACCCATTTGTATTTGAAGTGTATCAAAGTGGCAACCGTGTCGTGTCTATTATATATATTATTATATTATATTATTATAAAGCCATTTATTTCCTTAACAAAATTATTAAAATACATTTCATTAATTATTAATTTCATTAAATAATTTAAAATAGAAACAAAACAAACATAATCAGATCATGAAAGAAAATACATTTAAATAAGATAAAATTATCGTTACAATCAATATTATTTATTTATCTAATTATTGTTAAGGACCTCTCTACGAGTATAGGCCTCCTCCAGATTTTTCCACTTTTCCCTATCCTTGGCCACTGAAATCCAATCGTCTCCAGCAAACTTTTCAATTTCATCCGTCCATCTTTCTAGAGGTCTACCTCTTTTTCGTTTTCCAGTAGGGCCAGCCCATGCCCCAGCCCCAATCAAAATATAATTTACTTGAAAAAACTATTGAAGAACAGGGGCGGCGTATACAGCAACTTGAAAGGCTGTCGAGAAGGAAAAATATTATATTTTTTGGAATAGAAGAAACGGAGAAAAACTACTTTGAACTAAATACCAACATTACAAATATTATAAATAACTTAATGAATCTCAACTTGAATGAAGAAAATATTGAATATATAAAACGCCTCGGTAAGAAGGATGATAAAAAAGTTAGACCAGTTGTTGTAACTTTAAATTCAATGATGACAAAAATTCGACTTTTAAAGAACAAAAAGAAGTTAGAAACAACACCATACTATATTAAAGAAGATTTTCCGCCTGAAGTAATAGAAGAGCGTAAGAAATTAACTGTAAAGCTGACAGAGGAGAGAAACAAAGGGAAGAAAGTATTTCTAAAATATAATAAATTAATAATACTACCGGAAAAAAAAGAAGAGAACCAAGTGCACAATCAAGACAATAAAAAATACAATAAGAGAAACCTTTCAGAATCTCCCGAACTCACAAATGATTCTTCTAGCTCGAGGCAACACAAAAAAAAGTTAAATCCAAAAAAGGCAAACATGAACATCAATAGTTTTGTTACAAAAAAACAGAACATAGATAATACGCCTTCTACGACTGCTACCCCTTTTGGAAGTACCACTTCAAATCGTAACAAAATCTGACGTGGCACAGCGACCTCTCCACGATGTTCCCCAATTCGGCTGGTCACCGCGGGGACTAACGACCACAACCCTCCACTCCACCCCCTCTACATCTGCACATATAATGCAAGATCCTTACTGTCTGACGAACGTCTACTGGAATTTAAAGAAGCTATTTCAAAAATTAAATATGATTTAATTGGTCTCGCAGAAATTAGAAGAACAGGTTATAGCATTTTGGAAGATAATGAACATATATTCTGCTATTATGGCTTAACTAAAGGCCTTTATGGTGTCGGTTTTTTAATTAAAAAACATTTGAAAGCAAACATTGAGAGTTTTATTGCAATCTCGGAGAGAGTTTGTTTACTGAATTTAAGGTTTGGTACTATGTTTATCTCTATTATCCAAGCGTATGCGCCTACTAGCAAAGCGAAAGACAGTGACTTAACAATTTTTTATGATCAACTTCGGGAAGCTCTAGAACAAAGCAACAAAACCGTCATCCTTATGGGCGATTTCAACGCGTGCATTGGGCAACAACAGTCTAATGAAGAGAGAATACTAGGACCGTACTGCTACGGTAAAAGGAACAAAAGCGGCGCAAAACTAATACAATTTGCATTTCAAAATAACCTTACCTTTATCAACAGCATATTCAAAAAGAAAACTGTCAATATGTGGACGTGGCTTTCACCAAGAGGGGCAAAAATCCAATTAGATTATATTTTATCTAACACCAAAGAGCAATTTACAAATATTGAAATTATAAATCAGCTAAACTACCCTAGCGATCATCGTCTAGTGAGAGCTACATTCCAAGTAATAAAAACCAAAAAAAGTAGAGCTAAATATAACCGCAAATATTCAATTTTAAAAACAAAAGAGGATGAAAAATTGTTCTTGAAAAAGTTAAAACAAACCATAGAAAGTTCTGGTTTGTGGGACAAATGTGAAAATATAGAGTCATACAATTCAAAAATAACTAAAATAATCATTGATGGGCTAAATTCCACTAAAGAACTAAAAAATCAAAATAGATATATTATCTCTGAAGAAACAAAAACTCTACTCTACAGAAGAAATAAATTAATGCATAAAAAACCGCTATGCAAAGAAGAAAAACAAGAACTTAGTTATTTATTTAAGAGTGTCCATAAACGAATTAAAAAAGAGTATGAAGAACACAGATTAAAAATAATAGAAAAACATCTCATATCCACAGGAAGTCTAAAAAAGGGATTAAAAAAACTGAACTCATTCAAAACCTGGATTCCAAATCTAAAACAAAAACTAACCGGAAAAGAAATTTACTCTAGACCTAAAATAATAGAGACAGCAACTAATTTCTATAAAAACTTATATGCAGAGCAAACAAATTCTCCAATGAACACTTCTGAAGTAAATGCTGGACAGTTATCATCCCCACATTCACACCAGCTCCAAAGATTTACAATAGCTGAGGTCATTAGGAAGATAGAGACTCTAAAGAAAGACAAAAGCTGCGGGCCAGACAATATACCCAACGAGATATTTATAATAGGGAAATATCTATTAGCGCCAATTCTCACAACACTTTTCAATAAAATCTTAGAGTTTAGAAGGATACCAAAAAAATGGGCAGAATCTGACATGACATTATTATATAAAAAAGGAGATCCTGCTGATATTTCAAACTATCGACCTATTAGTTTACAACCAAGCCTCTATAAGTTATTTGCCTCATGTTTAGAACAACGCATTAGTACTATCACTGAAAAATACCAACCAATAGAACAAGCAGGTTTTAGAAAACGTTTCTCGACTATAGACCATATACATACTGTTGAGCAGGTCATAGAGAAATACGAAGAACAAAGACGTCCGCTATACCTAGCTTTTATAGACTATGCAAAGGCTTTCGATTCATTATCCCACATTAGTATGTGGAAAGGCCTGATAGAATGTAAAGTACCATTAGAAACGATTGAACTTCTACAAGACATCTATAAAAAAAAGTATAAGTCGAGTAAAACTAGACAAAAAAGGTCCAGAAATAAACATTTGTAGGGGTGTCAGACAGGGAGATCCCTTATCACCAACAATATTTATTACCGTGCTTCAAAGTATCATGAAGCAACTTAATTGGTCCAAAAAAGGCATAAATATACAAAGAAAATACTTAAGTAACTTAAGATTTGCTGACGATATAGTCTTATTTTCAGAAACAGCATCACAACTCGAAGAAATGATAAATGAACTTCACTCTGTCAGTCACGCTATTGGCATGGAACTAAACACAGATAAAACAAAAATATTGTCCAACAACTTAGAAAGGCCTATTGAAGTAAACAACCAAACATTGGAGTATGTTCAAAAATATGTATATCTAGGTAAAGAGGTATCTTTTAAGAAATCTAGACACCGTGATGAACTTAACAGACGTATAAATTTGACCTGGGCAAAATTCTGGAATTACAAAGAAATCTTAAAGTCGAACTTTCCTCTAAAACTTAAAAAGAAAATTTTAGATTCATGTATTCTACCTTGTCTGTCCTATGCAAACCAAACTTGGATATACAACACCTACACGAAAAGAAAAATTGAAACATGCCAGAGAGCTATGGAACGAAGCCTACTTAATCTGAAACGTAAAGACAAAAAACGAAATACTGAAATTAGAAAAAGAACAAATGTTATAGATGCTCTATCTCATTGCAAGAAACTTAAATGGAAATGGGCGGGGCATATTGCACGTATGGAAGATAAAACATGGATTATATATATATACAGAATTTATTATATATCTATATATATATATATATATATATATATATATATATATATAGTGAAAATGAACTTCCAAACAAATTATACAGCAATCATAAATATTCGCTAAGTCGGTAATCTAAGAGATTCCCACAATATTCAAACATGTATCAAAATAAAATGTAATTTAAATCAAAGGCACTAAAGAGTATTTATATCCACCTTAATGCAAATCACCCCCAAAACAACTTTCTACTCCTTTTCAACGCGATGAGTTTCAATAAAATACGAAACACGTCTTCCGTCTATTCTGTTAAAGAATGTTTATGCTTTGAAGTAGATTGGACCAAGGAATCACGTTGTCCCATACAAACTTTGCCCCTGTTTTTCACCTCTTAGGGGTAGAATTTCGGAAAATCCTTTTTTATTGGATGTCCACGTCATACAAAGAACACACTCTCCAAGTTTCAGATCTCTACGACCAGCGGTTTAGGCTGTGCGTTGATCCGTCAGTCAGTCATTCAGGACAAAGCATTTTATATGTATAGATTTTAAGCTCTACACATTTTTATTAGATCTTTTTGTCTAATTTTTACAGTTTTCCAGTAATTGCAAAAAAGAAACACTTGACTCTTTTTTTCAACCCTTTACTGGGGTTGCAGACACGAAAACCTTTACACATTGTTATTATATCATTAAAACTACATTATATCAAAAATGCAAAGTTGACTGCCAAATTTTGATATCAGACCTTATTTGACTGAATGTTCCGATGGGTCTGTTGTCGCTTTTCATTCTGTACCTATATACTGTACTATGTAATATTAACTTAACGAAGCGTTACCTTCTCCGGTTATTGGAGATTTAAAATAATGACTTTTGACAAACGATATTAATTTTCTGGCGCGGAAGTAATTAAATTTAATTATATTTTATTTCATTTCATTTAATTTTCATATCCTAGTTAGTATTCGCTCGACTACACGGCAACTGTTCAGTGATGACTCGCTGATCGTGAGGTTGAAAGCTGGCAACGATCACCTAACAGTTAGAGGCACACTGAACATAAATTTAAGTTGGATAGGTCACGTCTAATGAAGTCAATGCTCCGTCTCCCTCGTGCTCTAACTCATAGCCCGCAAACTCCCGAGTCATTACGAATCTTTTCGCACGCATAAAGACTTTCAGCCTCCCGAACAAGCCGGTTGCTGAAAAGGCTTTAGTACCATGGTCCACATATATACCGAAAAATCTGCCTTTTTGCCTTGCGTATGTGCACTCTAAGAAAACCTTTGATTCCGTCGAAATTTAGGCGGTGATACAGCCCCTTCAGCGGTGCCAAATCGACTGTCAGTATATCGAAGTGCTGAAGTGTTTGTACAGTAGGGCTACGATGGCCGAGTACATCATTCGATTTACCGACGTTATAGTCATTAGAGCAGAATCACTGGAAAACCTAAGTACTACGCTCAATGACTTCAAGTGTGTCCCAACGCATAGGTCTTAAGATGAACATGGACAAAACAAAGGTCATGTTTAAAGTCTATGTCACACCCATGCCGGTAGTTGTTAGGAGCACTACGCTCGAAGTTGTAGACGAGTATGTTTACATGAGACAAATATCCCAACTAAGTAAGTGGAAAGTCGACAGAGACCGAGGTAAATTGATGGATTCAACTTGGCTGGGCAGCGTTCGGACGACACATCTTCTCGTGAAGCATACCTCAAAACTACAAAACAAGATTGTACAACCAATGCGCGTTACCAGTGATGACTTCAAGCAAGCTCAAAATCAGGGTTTCTCTACGTGATTGATTTAAAAATGGTGATATCCGCAGAAGACCCAAAGTAACCAACATAGCTCAACGGATTAATAAGCTGTAGTAGCAATGGGTCGGTCGCATATAGCTCGAAAAATCGACTTAAGCTGGGGAAAAAAGGTTCTCGAGTGGCAGCCTCTTACCGGTAGACGAAGTGTAGGGCATTCCCACATTAGATTGTGTGACGACCTGCTAAGACATGCAGGAAGTCGATAGATGCAGGTGGCTCAGAACCGTCCTTTGCGGCATTCTTTGGGTGAGGCCTATGTTTAGCAGTGGACTTGTGAAGGGTTGTAATGAAGATGATGATTATAACCTATATTCTTACTCGGATCATCATAGCTAATGATCAATGCTTGTTGTTTTAGTTTTTAAATTCAAATATTATTTCATATTTAGTCCATTGTACTGAGAATTTAGTATTTTCTGCCGACTTCCAAAAAGGAGCCGGTACTCAATTCGACTGTATGTTGTTTTTTTTTCGTTTTTTTTTTTTTATGTGTGTTACCTCAGAACTTTTTTCTGGGTGAACCGATTTCGATGATTCTTTTTTTATTTGAAAGCTGGTACTTCTCGTGTGGTCCCATATGAATTTGATCAAGGTCAAACCAATAGTTTTTAAGTTATTCTTAAATAACTTATATTGAAGTCGGCTGTACAAAATTTTTAATTTTAAATTATATTATTTCTATTACAGGAGTCAAAGAGCTGATTCTATTGACATGTTGAGACATAAACTATGTGCCGGCGAGATTGGTCGAGATTCCTGCAGAGGTGACTCCGGCGGTCCTCTTATGCTTGAAGGTGAATACAATGGCACGGACAGATATATCCAATTTGGTATCGTGTCTTACGGTCCATCGCAGTGTGGTTCCAATACCCCAGCAGTATACACAGATGTAAGAAAGTTTATGAAATGGATTTTAGATACTATCAAACCGTAGAAAAACGGGTATATAAAGAAGAATGGAGACGACAATCCGATGCTATTAATACTTTTCAGCAAAATTTGTTTTTTATTTTAAGAAGTTTAATAGATTTTAATATCATATTTTTTAACTTTCAATGATGTCGTAAGTTAAATCAATACATATTTAACTTAATTTTGTTTTGTTTTTTAATTGAAGAATGCTGTGAGTTAAATTTGAATATTATATTTTACAAACAATGAATAACTTGGATCTTGGAACAATTACTTTAATGATGTATTGGAACGAAGTTCCTTATAGCACGGTACGAATTTGACGGATGGGCGACCCCGTTTATATAGTGCGAGCGAGATGGAATAATATCCAACTCCCTTGCTCTTTTTCTTATCTGGCCATGAAAGAAATATTATTTTAAATAACAAGATATTTAATAGCCGCTAGTAATTAATTTATTTGTATTTGTTAATCAATAATATAATACGTTTATCAATAATAATATACTAAGAAAGGAACTTCGTTTCAACCGAGTGTTCCACGACACGTGGTAGAGCCATGCTGCTATATTAATATTAATAGTATAGTTGTAGCACGTATGGGTCGGCTCGACCGGGGAAGGATCACGCTCTCACAGAATACCAGCGTAAAACAGCAGCTTAATGCTGCTGTGTTTCGTGTGGTGAGTGTAGAGAACCGGAGATCCGTTTTACTGGGAAAGAGGCATTCTATCTTAGTCCTCACGTCTGACAACGCATCTGCATTTTAATTCGCAAACGAAGATAGATGTAGATGTCTATGGGCCACAGCAACCGCTTACCATCAGGCGGACTGTGTGCTCGTTTGTCACCCTTATTCTATAAAAAAAACACACATTATTTATTTATAAAACTGAAGTAACAAACTAATTTGCAGTCCACCTGATAGTAAGTGACTACTGTAGTCCATGGAAACCTGCAAAACACCTTTAAACCAATAAGACTACAGATGCGGTCGTCTATGAGCTAAGATGGAATGCCTAACAGTCTGTAACTATACTCGCCCTCTACACCCTACAGAATGGAACACAGCAGTACAAGCACTGCTATTAAGCGGCGGGGACAGGTGAGAGGGTGATTCCCACAGGTTTATTTTGCTATGGGGTAATGCGACTGATATTGAAGCTATATTTGTTTTGAGAGAACCGTACGGGCGATTTATAACCTAAATTGTAAAGAGTCCCTCAGAGAAAAATTTAAAGAAATAAACATATTTAACTTTGGCATCGCAATATATTTATGAACATATAATGTATGTACAGAAAAACATAAATAGCTTTAATAAGAATAAGGATGTTCATACCTTAAACACTAGGAACAAACATAAACTTGTAATGCCAGTTACTAGACTCCACAGAACTAGTAATTCATTTATGGGACAATGTATACACTTTTACAACAAAATCCCAGAACATCAATCAAAGTTTGTCAATAAACAAGTTTAAAAGTTTTATTAAAAAAAACTGTACAAAAAGGGTTATTATAATATCAAGGTATACATGAATGAAAATAACCCCTGGGAATAACCATGCCACCATGCTGGTTCTATGAGAGTTCATTTAAAATTGTATGAACAAAAAGTTAATGGAAATTATGTTAAAAAAAAGTCCCGCTGGGTTTATTGTTGGTTCTTCCCAGGACAAATGTATTTTCCGAACAAGAAAAAATGAATGATAAGTATTATGTAATAATCAATGTTGAATAAAAATCATTCTATTACATTCTATTCTATTCCACCCAGATGTACTTCTAGACAATAAAGGAGTATTACCACCTGGTATTAAACATTTTTGCGACACAAAAACGAAATAATACGTGTAATTAGGAAAATTGCGGTATAAAATGCTATCTTCTGTCGCATCCGCAGATTCCATCTCAATCCTCAGTTACAACGTATCTGTATTTTGATTCTTAATTGAGGATAGATGTAAATGTTATGACTAGCCACAGCCATCAGGTGAGCTGAGTACTTCTCACCCTTACTCCTATAAAAATAATGTAGATTATAACACACAAACACTATTATACGTGTATGTAAAGCCTTATAACTTGAGGTTTTTCCTACCTTCACATTTGCTATGACAATAAGTATAATACCGTTACATTCTATCAAAAATTCACAGCTAAAAATAGGCCTCCTCCAAAGATTGCCAAGTTTGGCAATCGGGTTGTCAACCGCAGTTTTTTATTTTTTAGTTGTTATTAGGAAGACGCTGTTGCCCATCTCCTGGTTTGTTTCCCTCCGCCGCCTCCTACAACACTCGTGAGATGATATGGGTAGTGGTTATATATATTTTTACATCGCCACTACACGGTGAAATAATATATTTGTTTTAACTTTGTGTGAGCAAATGGAAACGCAAATGCGCTTGCCACTCATCAAACACTTACTTACACTCGAAAATTAAAATGATGAATAGATGAAAAGATGCCTCACAGAATAAACGACTATTTATGGACGCCCTACCTCTGATTTACTTCCGACTATCTACTTGTGTTAAAGACTATAAAAGTCCATTGCTGAACATACGGTAATTTATGGGGTACATAGAAATGAAAACTAATTATTTTTTCGACGTAAGAAAATAAAATTTCATTTGTCAAAGTCAACATATTTGTAATCTACTACCGTTCCAAAATGAGTTTTCTCTGTCTGGAGAAGAAACGAAAAAAAAGTTCACAGGTAACCTCTTTTTTGTCTTCGTAATAAAGCTGAAAAGGAATAGACCTATAAGTAATCAAAGCACTTAACGATTATAAAATTACACAACAAAATTAAAGGTGGAAACATGTGTTGCGAACTTGAATAGACTAGTCTCCACAAGCGTTCATAGTATGACGCTTGTGGCAGCCATCGCCCTCCTCTATCATTTACAAAGAAAGTGGACGAACAGCCACACTACACCGCACAGCTGCAAGGAAAGATCTTGACATACCCGACATACTACCATAGACTAGGATGTTACTTTACACAAATAACAATTAATATTTTTAGTATTCCTTCAAGCCTCCAGATAAGGTTGCTGGATAGTATAAAATCTCAGTATGCGTGCCAAACTATTTTTATTACTGTACATTAATGTGTAAGTATACCAAGTAAAGCAATAAGAAGCAGTGTACCGTCGTTTGGGCGATTTTACTGTCGGTTGCAGTTTGTTGTTTTCTCTACATCCAAGAATAGACATATTTTATTTAGGGCTCGCCTGATAATTATAATAAACATTTATACTGTAAGGGGCACACCCTTAGAGTATAAATATCTGCCAACCGGTAAACTCCATTAACACCGGGATAAATTGTCTTAACTCATCCGAGAGGCCATTTAAGTGATAGCTTTGTATCATCTTTGATGAGCACCAGTTGATCAGGCTTGATGTTGGGTTTGCTACTTTTGCCACTTATTATCTTGTTGTAACTCGCAATTATACTCCTGGCTCCATGTGATCCAGAAATACTGTCGTACTTGTTCGATTTTTGCAAATCAGTATCAACACGTTTTTTATGCTGTGAAAGTAAAACGGTATAGAGGTAAAACTAGTCAAGTATAAATTTTCCAGCAAGTTATAAATAAAATCAGTTATAAAATGAGTCTTCGCCATGTTTTTATCTAAACAGACATATTTTATCCAGACAGATTAAAATTCTCATTGGTGAAACCACTATTTAAAAAGAATAAAAATACACTTGAACGTAACTACCGGCCCATTATTCTGGTTCTTATCTTATTCAAAGTGTTAAGAAGGTTATGTATGAAAAACTTACATCGTTTTTTGATAAATTTCATGTACTAAAACACAATCAATATGGATTTCGAAAAAGCAAATCCACTACACATGCGGTATAAGACTTGACATTTGAATGAGACCCTTACACAACTAAACAAACAATATACGACGGCGCTCTTCTTTGATATGTCGAAATCTTTCAATTTTGTTTCGCTTGATCAACTACTAGCAAAGTTAGAGCGCTGCGGCGTTAGAGGCACTGCTGTGAACTGGATAGAAGCATACTTGCAAAACAGAATGCAATCAGTCGAAATCACAAAACTTGACTCTAACCATGTAGTGAAAAACTACAGGTATGAGTTTAGAGAAAATAAGTTTAGTGTTCCTCAAGGAAGTATACAGGGACCTCTTCTGTTCCTGATTTATATTAATGATCGCCCAAATGTGACCAAGCATCGATGTATCCTATTCGCTGATGATATATCTGTAATAGTGACAACTGATAACAAATTGACATTAAAAGACCACAAAAATGACATTAATGAAACTATAATTCAAATAATTATTTGACTGAGAAATAATTACTTAATTATCAATATATAAAATGAATCTAATTAACTTTAATAATATACAAAGTCTGACATTAAATATATAATTATGAAGGACAAATACTTAAAAATACAATATTAACGAAATTCTTGGTTATAAAAATTGATCAAAAATTAAATTGAAAACAACAAGTTAAAAAAGTGTGCAACAAAATCAATCGTTTCTCGTTTGCAGTTTATAAATTGACAAAAATAGCAGAAAGGAGTAAAGCTCTTATTGCGTACTTTGCTTACGTTGAATCAGTCCTGCGATACGGACTCATCATATGGGATAATAGCACGGACATAAAAAAGGTATTTATTGCACAAAACAAGTGTGTTAGAGCGGTATGTGGTACTGCACCTGACGAGCTTTGTTTAAATCTTTGAAAATTTTAACACTTGTAATATGAATGTATGTAATATGAATTATTTCACACAAGCTAAAGACGTCTACAAACGAAGCACTAGAAATAGGAATAGGTTGGTTTCCGCTATAATTCCCAAGAGTGCCAGATTACATAAAAATTGCTATTGGATGTGTATGACAGTATAAAATAAGATACTACAAGTAATTCGAGACCTACCTTTCATTCAATTCGTAATAAAAAAATAAAAATTTTGTGCAACCGAATTCGATATAAATTATTAAGAATAACTCAAAAACGATTGGTCAGACCTTAATCAAATTAATATGGGACCACATGTGAAGCACCAGCTTCCAAACAAAAAAAAAGAATCATTGAAATCGGTTCACCCAGGCAAAGGTTGTGAGGTAACACACATAAAAAAGAAAAAAAAGATTAACATACAATCGAATTGAGTAC